CATTACATACTAATTAACAAACCATTGCACTCTCTAAAGAAACCAACTTTACTATTTAAGCATAGATCTTTAAAAAAATAATCAGGCTTGATAGGCTGGGGAATTATCATTCTCCAAAGCAGGGAATAAAAAGTTTGATCCACTAAATTAAAATGCATGCAGTTGAAAGACTACATATCACCATGCACTTTGTGGTAAGAAATGAGTTGCTTCGCTTTCCAGTGGCGAAATGTACTGGTTGATATTCAAATAGAGCGAAGCATCGTACAGTGGTAGGTGAAGTGGGCTTCTCGTTTTTTTTGGCATAAAACACTTGCAGTTGGTTGGCATTTTTTTCAGTGTCAAGTACTCGAGATTAAGTGCACCAGACCATACTTGTGATTGTCCTCAATGTTGAGACTAAGGAATTCATTGAGCTTAGGCTGGCTTAGAAAGTGTCAGTTAAGACCAACTTTTATGGCCTATTTTATGTCTTGGATGTAATTATATATTATTCATCTGATAATGTACCATTTGTGGAAAACATGAATGACTCTGTAGGAGCTTACGTAATAACAAGATTGTGAAGTTACCTGGTGACGTGTTTACTTCACTGTTTGAGCTGTCGAAGCTGTAAGTGTGGATTCTTACTTTATATTTATTTTCACTTGAAAGGATAACATTTTTCTTGGAAAGTTTTTGCGTAACGTGTTTATTGTTCTTTGTTAGGTCCTCAGTGAGTTTTTTAACCCTTTCCAAAAGTGCGGAAAAAAAAATTGTAAATACGAGAAAATGTTACGTCATGGCAACAGTGCTGAAGATGTACGACTTTATTCTTAAATCCAGGAAAATATTCCTGTAGGGATTGGGTAACAATCAGATTGTAAAAAATGTCTTTCTTTTTTAAATTTCAAATTGCAATTTCCCTCCTCCCTTTTGTATTGTTTTCGTATTCACGCCCAGCTCAATTGATTTTACAAATTAGTCAATCAGGTCAAACAACTTTAACGTTGACACTGGAAAACTGACGTGGACAATTTTTCTCGCGCATGTTTCGTTGTTTTGTTTTTATGGATTTGTTTACTGTTTTTGAGTTTTCGTTCAAGGCAATTTGTTATCCCTCAGTTTGGAATTCTAAAAAGTTTCTCAATTTTTATTTAATGAGAATGTTGTGGTTACTTCAACACATGTTTGTTTAATACATATTTCTGCGGAGTTTCGACCCAAGCCTCTTGCTTCGTCAGAGGATATTTTACAGAGATAATGGGGGTATCTCTCGGGGTGTTTAATGACAGCACCAAAATTATCCAAATGCTAATCAAAAATTATTTTATGAGAGCAAGTCGAATGTGAGATGATGAATAACCAACAAAGTGCATAGCCCCGAGTTGTTGATAAAAATCTTACACTTTGACAACGAATGAAAGAAAGAAGCCACTTCCTTTCCAAATGGAGGACAGTTCCAATAGCTTCAGCTCAAGTTCTCCAGCACTTTTCTATTAACAGTGTTTGATTTAGTGCTAACCCCTGGAATTCCCCTTTCCCAGTACACAGATAGACAAAACCCAGACATCTGCTCTCCCCTTTACCCCTTTATGACCTAGCACAGCCCTTTAGTATCTTTTTGACACAAAGAACATTGACGACACCTCAAAGCTTCATTAAATAGACCTGTAAAGTGGGTAAAGACCTAGCCCTAAGGAAAATTGCTTCGCAACATCTTGTTCTGGTATCATACATCAGCAAGACCAGTAAAAACCGGTACGATTAGCAGAATTGAATAGAAACGAGTAGCAAGAGTCACTATAGTTTTGGGAAAGATTATGTAGTTTAAAAATTGCTCCCCTATAAACACCATTGGGTTTCTGTTCTATGTTAACCTTCGACACTCACTACTTTAACCACAAAATGACTCTGAACCTGAAATATTAACTTAAAAGAGACCGTAAATTCAGGGTAAACTTCTTTTTGTAGAAACTTACAGGACAATGAGATAGCAGAGCTACCAGCTGGACTCTTCAGTAACAACAGGAAGTTGACTGAACTGTAAGTAAAATATTCACGTTCCCGCTAAGTGACTGGCTGTACGCCCTTTGCCAAATTTGTACTAAAATAGACTTGGTTATTAATAGCAAGCAAGAGGGAGTCTGGGATAATTAAAAATTGGAAGCAGTAAACAAAGAATTAGCCATTGGTCCGTCCAACAGAGGACCAAAGAGCCAATACCTCTGGAGGAAAGACCGTATTAATGGCACAATTTGATCTAAAATAAGAAAAAAAAAAAAAAAAAAAAAAAAAACCACAACAAAAAAGCAGGGTCTTAATAACCCATACAACAAGCATTACATAAAAATAACACATATGGAAAAACAAACTGGCGTTCACCTCATGGAAAATGAAGGTTGAATTCACCGAGAACGCGGCATTTTACAAACGTTTACCTGTGTTTTGCTAACGGAAAACCGGACGTTCTCTGTGTGTTTTCGCATCGGTAAATCCCAGTATCCGTTTAGTTATTCGTTAGTTTTTGTTCGCCGACTGACAATTCATTTTCTGGCATTGACCGCTCGGTTAAAGCATGGCAAACAGTTTGTTTTCGTCTTGTTCATTGGCATTTCTGGAGTGAACAGCAACGTATTCACCTGAATTAACGGCTGAAAATACGCATTTTCCGGGAAGGTTAATGTGTATAAATAGAGGAAAACGTAATGTTTTCCTGGGTTTGCCGTTCGTGTAACGTACAGAAAATGTCATGTTTTCTTCAGTTCGCAACCATTTTTCACCCGGTGAACGAAATGTT